TTCAGTTTAGTTTGGTGTTGGAATATCTTAACATCCTCATTGAATTTTGTTGGGGGAGGATACTTTGTATCTTGCTATTTTATTATAACTATTAAGTATATCCATTTAGTTAGTTTGCTGATTCTCTGGGGTTTTCTAAGTCAATAATCTTATCTACTGATAGAGCTAACTTCATCTCTACTTTTACCAGGTTGCCAACTTGTCTATTCTTTCTTTTTTGTTTCTACTATCATCAGCATTTCTAGAACTATGTCAAATAACTGAGGAGGTATTACTTTTTTACTTCTCTTTTTTACTCAGGAAAGCCTCTATTGTTTCCATGTTGCACATTATGGCAGCTTTTGGATATATAAACATAATCATATTAACAAATTTGGCCCTTCTGTGCCTTTGCTGTTTAGGGTCTTTTTTTTTTAGCATAAATGAATGTTATCCTTCCTCAAAATCTTCTTTTTGCATATATTACTATGATTACTGTAGTCTGATAGTATTTTTCTTTTACATATGATTCATTTTGTTATTTTTTTCCCCCTTCTGTTCAGCCATCTTTGCATCCATAGTATAAATCCAAGTTTGTTGTTGTTGAGTCATTTCATTCATGTCCAACTCTCTATGACTCCATTTGGGGTTTTCTTGGGTACTGGAGTAACTTGCCATTTCTTTCTCCAGCTCATTTTATAGATGAAGAACTGAGGTAACAGAGTTAAGTGATTTGCCCAGAGTCACACAGCTAGTAATTGTCTGAGGACAGATTTCAGCTCAGTTCCTTTTGACTCCAGCGCTGGTGTTCTATCTACTGCAACACTTAGCTGTCCCTAGACATACAATTTAGCCACTCTGAATAGTGTTTTGGACATGTTCTTATAATCTTTTTGCTAATATTTTATTTAAAGGTTTTGCATTAATATTACTGTCATTGATTCTTTGCTTTATCCTTTCCTGGTTTTGGAATTAGGATCGTATTTGTTGATTAAAAAGAGTTTGATAGAGGGTTTTCTTGGCAAAGATACCAGAGTGCTTTGCCAATTCCTTTATCCCAAATAGGGTTGGATGTGACTGAAATGACCTCAACAACAACAACAAAAGAGGGTTTTCAGCCCTGCTGAATATCAGTCTCAGACACAGTTACAGTATTAAAGGAAAAATGGACACATTTCCCAGCCCCACCCCATCCCATCTTGTGAACTGGGAGGAATAAAGGAGAAGGGAGTGGTCACTTTAGAAATATTTAACCAATAGCAGCTTCTGTTCCCCAATGGGAAACAGATTTATATTTGGAAGCCTGACTTTCCAGAATTTGTAACAATGACACCTGAGAGAATAGTACCCTCTCCACATAACAGTAATTTAGGGCAACTTTAGGTATTATACCATCTATTCGGTCATTTCAGGCATAGAACTAGTAACTTTTAGCCACAAGAAAAGTGAGATTCAGAGAAAAAGAAAATACCTTGGAAATAAGGGAAATGGACACAATGTAAATAAATAAGGATTTGGTATCTACTGAAAGTTGATTGACCAATTTAAAAAAATAACTTTAAAAAGCAGACTAATAGATAAGGCTATACTTTTTTTAAGATAAAACATTCATTCATTCAACATGTATTCATTAAGAAGTTAATATATGTAGGTACTGTGCTAGGTTCTAAATAGAGAAAGAAAGAAACAGTCACTGACCTCCAGGAGTTGACTTATTTTTGGGGAAAACTACACATACCCATGGAATCAGGAAGATTTATTTTCATGAGTTCAAAACTGACCCCAGATACTTACTACCTGTGTGACCCTGGGAAATCCTATTTGCTTTAATTCTTCATCCATAGAATATGCTGGAGAAGGAAATGGCAAACCACTTCAGTATTTTTGCCAATAATTAAAAAAAAATAAACTCAAATGGGGTCACAACGAGTTGGTCATGATTAAAAAACAACTGAACAAAAAAACACTTATCCATATAAATAAACATAAAATTTACACAAAGTAAATACGAAGTAATATAGAAGGGGGTAATAACTAGGGGGAATCAAGAAATGCCTCAAATAGGAAGTGGCATTTGAGGGGAACTTGAAAAAAATTAGAGCTTATAAGAGGCAGGGAATTGTGTGTCTAAAAAAAAGCTGAGAGAATCTGATTTTTATATGTACATGATATGTAAGGTCTGCCATATAAGAAGCTTGTGATGATCAGGTGTTAGTTTATTGGAGACTTAGATAATATCAAATTTCTAGGAAAGGAGCCTAAACAAAGAGGAAAAAAAATAGAATTCCATGATAAAAACATAACATTTCAGACTTATGTTTGGGAGGCTAAAATCACAGCTTTTTATGTAACTAAAATTTCTTTGATATCTGAATTTAGTAAGGGTGTGGGCCCTTCCAGTTAAAATATTTTTTAAGTCTCTGAAAGTAATTATTCTCTAGCCAGACCCAACTATTAGTCTCATTTCCTTTCTTTCTTGTCCATTTTTACATTGTTTACAAAGACTTCTCCTCTGAACTTAATATGCACCCTGACTGCCTTTTCCTCATTTGGAATTCATCCACACACTAGGGCTGCCTCACTGAAGTTTATTTAGCACTCCCAAAAGCCATGTTTTTTATTGGAGAAAATACTGTCTGTGATACATTCATCCTCATCTGCCTTCTCGTTATGAATCCTATAGGAAAAAAAAGAAGTGTTATAACCCTGCATAGATGTTTAAAAATAAATAAATTTCTAGCAACTGGAAAATCTCTTGTTAGTTTAAAAATAAAGTTGGGTGTCATTGTTATTATTACACATCTAATAAAAAGTAGAAACAGAGTCTTCCTCATGTATAAAGAGTTCCAATATACATAGAAGCTCCATAAAAATTTCAATTTTAGTGTTATTTTTCATTCCAAAATATTAAGAAATTATGAATGGATCAGGAATTTTTCAGTATAAGAACAATCTTTCTCTGTTTAGCTCCAGAATTTCCCATACTGCGCTTTTATCAGGAGTCAGCCTGGTACAGAGGAAATAGTGCTAAATTTGGACTCAGAGGACCTCTATTTGAATCTTGTCTCTCCTTATCACAAGTTGGTCAAATCTTCCATTTTCAGTGAACCTCAGTTTCTTCATCTATACAATAAAGTAGGAGTGCCAGGCCAGAAATTAGGAAGACTTCTCTTACTGAGTTCAAATCTGGCTTCAGACACTTACTACCAGTGTCACCCTGGGCAAGTTGCTTACCCTATTTGTCTCAGTTTCCTCATTTGTAAAATGAGCTGGAGAAGAATATGGTAAACCACGCCAGTATCTTTGCCAAGAAAATCCCAAACAGGGTCAGGAAGTCAGACATGACTGAAAATGACTGAACAGTAACAATATGTGATTAGATTAAGTTACTTCTAAGATCCTTTCCAGATCTAAAACTATAATCTTTTGATTATCAACTTGATAAGATTAGAAGTTTCTGCAGCTCTATATGTGGGCTAGTGATCCTCACCAAGAGCATCAAGGACATCTCCTGAACCTGTGAACATATTCGCACCTCATACCAGAAGAGCAATTGAGTAAAAGTAATGTGGGATGAATGGATTGGCTTAGGTTGTATGTATGCTTGTGGATGTATTAACCCCTTAGTATTAGCCTTATTAAAAAGAGCCAAAACAAAAAACCATTATGCCAATAGATAAGTCTGTTTGTTGTTTAGTTGTGTTTGACTTTTTGTGACTCCATTTGGGGGTTTTCTTAGCAAAGATACTGGAGTGATTCACCATTTTCTTCTCCAGCTCATTTTACAGATGAGCAACTGAAGCAACCAGGGTTAAGTGACTTGCCCAGGGTCACGCAGTTAGTAAGTATCTGAGACTGGATTTGAACTCATGAAGATGGCTTTTCCTGACCCCAGGCCTGACATTCAACCACTGTACCACCCAACTGCCCCATAGATAAGCCTAAAATATTTTTATATCCAATAGAGCTTGGCAGTCCATGGGGTAGAGCACCATACATATTGACAGATTTTTTTTAATGTATTGATCAATTCTGCTGAATTATTTTCTCTTTTCCCTTTTTTCTTTTATTAAAAAGAAATCTTTGTTATAAGGGATAGCCCTTTGAGAGAGGGAGACCAAAAGAGGAAAAAGTCAATGTAAAAGCAAAAGGTAGCAATAACATTCTTAAAATTAAACAAAACGATGCCAATAGACCTGTAGCTGGCATTTTTTTTCCAGAAAAATCCAGAGAGAGCTAAAAAACCAGCAACTTGAATAGATTTGAGTCCTGGGGGAGCAGGTGTCTGTGCATTCATATAGTCTTCTCACTGGTAACCATGAATGGCAGCTTTGGGGAGGAAGCACAAAGCAGTTACATGAGTTATATGGCCCATGTGGCCCAAGAGATACAAGTGGCCTCAACAACATGACCCCAAGGAGCAATATGTCCTAGTTTCTTGGGTGGAAGAAGGGAGAATTCTTTAAACCATGTACTCTTTGATCCAGTGACTTTGGCTTCCTGGCTGTTTGACAAAAAAGACTCTCCATCTCTCACCTTGAAGCATTTTTTTTTTTGGCTTTCCACTGTGCCTAGGATGCTCTCTGTCCTTAAAACCTCCTGATTTCTTTGGCTTCCTTTAAGTCCCAGCTAAAATCCCATCTTTCACAGGAAGCTTTCCCAACCCCTCTTAATCCTAGCACCTTCACTCTGTTAATTATTTCCTATTTATCCTGTGTATAGCTTGTTTGTATATGTTTGCATGTTGTCTGCCCCATTAGATTATAAGCTTCTAGAGGTCAGGGACTGTCTTTTGCCTCTTTGTGTCCCCTGTGCTTAGCACAGTGCCTAGAACATAGTAGGTGCTTAATAAATGTTGATAGATTGACTTATTGATTGAACCTAAGTTCTTGGCCCTATTCATAAAGAGGCAGTGACATAACCTGTAAGACCAAGAAATGGGACTTTGGAGAAGGTAACCATCTAGCCTGTGGCCAAGTGTTCAGATCTCCTCTCCCATTTTGCTCCCCCTGCCTTGCTAGATTTATGGAAGAGCACCAAAAGTTTCTAGCTTGAGCATCTAATAAATGGTCCTGGATTTGGAAGAGCAACGTGGGGACTGATCAACAGAAGTACTACAGTTCAGGGGGAAGAATGCTGGATTTAGAGTCAGAGAATGTTGGATTCGATCCTGCCTCAGCCACTTTTTACCTGCGTCATGGGCAAAGCACTTCACTCCTGTATGCTTAGATTCTCATCTCTGAAATGAAGGGGGATTTGACTAGATGATGGCAAAGGTCTCTTTGATATCTAAATCTATGATCTGTGACATGGAGGAATGATAAAACCTGCCTGAACTTTACCCTTTGATATGACCATTCATCATTAAGTGACTGCAAGTCTGGCAGGGAAAGGAGTTGTCTGACTAACAACACAGATTTAATTTGCCTTCCAGGGAAGGGGTGGGGGGTGGGGTTTCAAGCCCTTAAAACCATAAGCCCGTATAAGTCCCTGGGGTGAATGGACTTATTGGAATGTCGGGTTATTTTGATCTTTAGCAGCCCAAAGCGTGTTTTCCTTCTGGAAAGAGTATAGGTCCTTGGGGTATACCATAAAGCTAGAGCAGTTCTGTTTTTGGACTTTGTGGAACGTTTAGGGGTTGTCTTTTCTAGCAACCCCAAAGTATTTTTTTCTCTAGGGAGATACCAAATCATAGTGGGGGTGCCCATTAGATAATTCTCCCCTGGGTGAGAAGAAGGTGGGAATCACTAAAGAGGGAAGAGCATTGTATTAGTTGTTTATGGGCTATTTTGTATCCTTTGTGTTCTTTGCCCAGTCATTGTTTCTGTGAAATAAAGGCTGTCCTCTACCAATGATACATTAATTTCTTGAATACATACACAGGAGCCAAAGACTACACTACCACATCTCTAGAAACTAGACAGGAGCAGTCTTTTTGAGGTTCCCAGAGGACATGCTTGGGCGGGGGGCAGCAAATTGAGCCAAAAAACCCTTAATTTTTGAAAAGCCACCAAGGGTGTGCTGGAGCCAGCTTTAACCACCAATTGTTTAATTATCAGTGTGAGTATTTACTACTCAGAAATATACAAATCAGGGTTAATTTATTGTTTTGTTTACTGTCTAGTCTTTTAAAAAACAGATGGGGAAAATGGTAATAATACAGATTAACTTTAAAAGTTCAGTGTGTATTTTTTTTTTTTGGAGAGCTAATTGTTTAACATTTACCATCACACCATGTTGGAGGCTCTGCAAGACTGAACCCAGGCCATGTAAATCTAGAGCTTGAAATGCTAGGCCACAGGTTACACATAATTTAAAATATACACCTTTTTCTGTCCCATCACACATGGCTTCCATTTATCTATTTTAAGCCCCAAAGTATTCCATGGTCATATTAGTTTGGGAAGTATAAGCCAAATGTGTGGCATCATACCACTATAGTTGCTACAGTGATTATTTTGGTTAGATTGTCACTGCCCTAAAGTCCTTTACAATTACATAATTAGAAGAACCAAGTAAAATGTATAATCTTTTTTAGATGACAAGTGGGTTAGAGAGGTTAAATAATTTCTCCAGGGAAGAAGCTTGGTGTGCTGGAAAGAGTTCCTATCCAGAAGGCACTCCTGACTCTGCTGGACTTTCTCAACAATGACACAGAAACTTTTTTGTCCTAGAAGCTCACTTTACCCCTGAACTTCTCACATTGGGCATACCACTCTGCCCCTGGCGCCTTCATGTTACAATTGTATCTTGTTCTGTCCCCCTGACCACTCTTCCCTGTATAGTAAGTAAGTTTATGAGTAGACAATATTAAAGTAGCAATCACACGAAGGAAGATTGCAGAAGAAGTCATGAGCAAACTGTCCCAAGGTCAAAGGGACATTATATACAAATTGTACCAAAATTCACATCCTGAGAATATGTGCTGAATTAGGAAAAGCTATCTGGGTGCTGCTGTCATGGCCTTCTGGTCCTGTGATGTGTAAATCTCATACAAGTTCCAGACATCCTCAGTAAGATCAGCAGAACACCAAATGGTGCTGATAATGTTGAGATGGCGTGAATATGTTGACTTTAAAGTTTTACTGACAACTTTGGGATGACTTGTCATGTCTTCACTCTTCTCTGTGCTCCAGACTTTCTTTACAGTGCCCCCAGCTGGATCCATCTTCCCTTCCCCTCCCTTCAGCTTTTATGTTTTATTAGAATGTAAGCTCCTTGAGTGCAAGAACTCTCTATCTGCTTGAATATGTATTCCCAGAAATTAACACAGTGCCTGCCACATAGTAGGAGGAAGGGGAATATGCATTTATATAACTCCTACCACATGGCAGGCACTGTGCTAATTGCTTTTAATAAACATTATCTCATTTGATTCTCACAGCAAGCGAGTGAAGGTAGGTACTATTATTATCCTAATTTTGCAGTTGAAGAAACAGAGGCAAGCTGAGCAAGGTGGCTTGCCCAGGATTACACAGCTACTAAAATCTGAGACAGCGTTTGAACTCAGATCTTCCTGACTGAAGGCCCATTGCTCCCTCCATTGTACCACTTAACTGTTCATAGTAATAAACACTTGTAGACTTTGGGAGTCAAAGAAATGCTAGAACAGGGAGGGGTTCTTTACCTGGTATCCATGGATTCCTAAGGGATTCATGAATCAATTTCAAGGGTCCACAAACTTGGATGGGGAAAAAAATTGCATCTTTATCTTCACTAACTTTTGGTTTCTTTTATAATCATATTTTTTTAATGCATCTAAAAAGGTTTTTTTGAGAAGGCACCAATAGGCTTCACCAGACTATCAATGGGGTCCATGACACCCAAAAGATTTAAGAGCCCCTAGGTAGAAGTAAGATAGGCTTTGGCCTAGAGAATGGTGGCTATTATTAATTAGTGCTTACCAGGGATTTCAGTGTAGTAGACCCTGGGCAAGTCTCTTAACCCTGTTTGCCTCAGTTCCTCATCTATAAAATGGGCTGGAAAAGGAAACAGCAAACTGCTCCTGTATCTTTGCCAAGAAAATCCCAAATGGGATCGTGAAGAGTTGGACACAACTGAAATGACTCGACAACAACAACTAAATTTTGGTGGCTAGGTGGTGCAGGGAATAGAGCACTTGGATAGGGCTTTGAATCAGGAGGATAATCTTTTTTTCACATTATTTTTATTGTTTTATTTTATTTGTGTTTTCTTTTGCAACATGGCTAATGAGAAAACAAGTATCACATGAGATATATGTATAACTAAGATCAAACTGTTTGCCTCCTCAAAGTCGGCATGGGGGAGGTACAGGAGGGAAGGAGAATTTGGAACTCAAATTTTTCTAAAGTGAGTGTTAAAAATTTTCATATCTAATTGGGAAATATTTAACAATATAAATAAAAATAATTTTAAAATTTTAAAAGGAAAAATCCAGGAGGATAATCTTTATGAATTCAAATCTGGCCTTAGAAGCTTATTAGCCAGGTGACACTGTGCAAGTCACTTAACCCTGTTTGCACCAGTTCTTCGTCTGTAAAATGGATTGGAGAAGGAAATGGCAAACCACACCTGTACCCTTACCAAAAAAGAAGCCTCAAGTTGGGGTCAGGAAGAGTTGGACACGACTGAAACGACTCGACAATAACAGCAGCAACAGAAAGGTTGGATCTGTTTTCATCACCTGTGAGCAGTCACCCAACGCAACGAGGATTCTATAGTCTTGACAGACGACTGATGTCTTTCTTAGCACTAGTAGTCAATGCACATTTTGCTTCATTCTGAGAAATTGCATCAGTTATTGCTGCTGACAAAAAAAATATACATATCCATATCTTGTGTGATAGATTCATATCTATCATAACATTTTTAATGTGACAAAAAGCTTATGAATGCACAACTCCTTTACAGCTATTGTTTTTTAGTCATAAAAAGGTTTTGTATTTCCTACAAAATGCTCTTTATAGGAAGAGTGCTCTTTAAAAAAGAAAGAAATCAAAGACTCATGTAGGTGATCCTTCATCTTCTAGGGATTGTGAGCCACTTAGCTCTACCCTGCCTCATGTCTCCTTTGTTCTTTAGAGCTAGCTACTCTGGGACATAACAATATTTAAGATTTTTTACCTCTTTGACTTCCTTTGTATCATGGACTAATTTATTATGCGAAGGTCAAGGTTACACTGGAGCAAACAATATTGGAAAGACCCTGGAGGCATTGATTAACCCTATTTGTACTTATGCCTCCAAATACTGATTTTTTTTCCTGTCACATGTTACATAGAAAAATTTCTGCCTGATGTTACAAGTTTACATTATACTTTTTTATAGATGTACCTTTCACCCTAGCATATTTACTTTTCTCTTCCTTGATTGAATTTATGACCATGTAACATATAATTCAAGCGACAGATTCTCTTATCTTGCAGGCTCATGGTGCTCTGTTACATGTAGGAGTAAGCCAGAAGAAAGTTTCACAGCATGAGAGATAAAGCTGGATTCTGGATAGTTTGGGGAGGTTCTGGACAGAAGTTCTTGCTTTCTAAAGGCAAAGGTGGAATGTCTTGGGATTGGTTTTTAGGGAATGATGAAAACATCCAGAACCTAGGCCCATACCAAAGTAGAAGTCCAAGAATTTAACTGAACAAAGGAAAGGGACTTGCAGGTATAAGGAGACTTGACTGGGCACACAATATGGCCCCACATGGAAATCAGATATGTTCAAACCCCAATCCCATACTAAAATCCCAACAAATCCTAAATTCACACCTTACTCAACCAAATTCAGAAATCCCAAGAGATGTTTCTGCAGTTCAGTTGTAACCTCGCGAATGTGTCCTTCTCTGATGCTGTCTTGCTTGAAATTTGCACTGGTGACCTCAAGCCCATGTTGGAGAATACTGAGTGACAGATATTGTAAACATCCTACACTCTCAGCTGTGGAAAGTCAGAAAGCTGGGAGAAGGCTGTTTACTCTGTCTGCCTTGGAAATCAGCTGAAAAGAAGAGAATCAAGGGCATTGTTATGTATATGCGCCTTTTGCTCCAGTTATTATTGCTATTTGTACCAGAGGTCAAATTTGTAAAAAAGTCGGGGAGAAAATAGGTTGTCTGGGTCATGAAAGAAATGTGACAGAATCAATTATCTCCACACATTCTGACATTGTTTGGGGGAAAAAAAGATTCACAATCACCTGAAAAAGCTACATAATGCACATTCTTCTATTGCAGAGACCATACATCAATAATAGAAGAGAAATGTATGTGTCCTAAACAAAGCAGCCTAAGTGGCATATTTGCTCAGAGTTTAGCATTTCTAAAACAGAAATATAGGTCTAAGATTTACCAAAATTTATGAATCACCAAACTATGCAAGGCTCAGAGGATGCAAAAAAAAAAAAGTTTTCTTCCCCAAGCTTTCATCCTACTGGGTTTATGCAACATGTTTACAGCTTAAGTAAATGCAAAGTAATCCAAATTAATTTAGAGAGACAGCTTTAAAAATGACATTAATTTCTCCTCTAATGCTTAACACCTGTGTGGCCTTGGGCAAGTCACTTGCTTTCCTTAGGCCTCATTTTCCTCATCTGTGGAATGAAAATGTTGGATTTGATTGCATCTGAGGTCTTTTCCTGCTATAGATATATGGCCCTATGTACAGTAGGTATAAGCATAAAGGATGTTTTTCAAAGCAAGCCTTCGTGTGCCAGAACCATAGGACAAGACTGAGGGCATAAAGGAAGGACATAAGCATTTATTAAGCACCCACTATGTTCCAGACACTGTCCTATAAACTTTATTACATTGTTATATTATATTAAATATTATCTAATTTTAGATTCAAAACAGCTTTGAGAGTAGGTGCTGTTACAATC